TCACCTCATCAGCATATCAAAAACACTTTCATCAGGGAATTCTAAAGGTTTTTGAAGTTCTGTTCCACCAGGTATTTATTTTTCCTTATGGTTGTAAAGTCAGATAATGTTTTTAAGAAACATAATCAACTTACAGGACATTTCTGCTCTAAAGTGAATGGGAGAGGGTTTTCATTTAGGCATCAATTTGAGCAACTATAGTGGATTGCTTTCCATTTCAGGAGTGGGGAACCTTTTTTCTGCTAAGGGCCATTTGGATATTTACATTATCATTCTCGGGCCATACAAAATTATCAACTTAAAAATTAGCCTGCTGTAAATTAAAAATTAGCCTAATGTGATGGCTGGGCCAGACCAAATGATTTCACAGGCCATATATGGCCCTTGGGCCGGACGTTCCCCACCTCTGCATTAGAGAGAGGCTTTAAGAAACCAGAACACAGAGGGAGTTTGTAGTGCTAAAAAAAATTATTTTAACTTTTATTTACTCAAATTTCCAAGCCTTTAAAATGAAGAATTATTTTATAAAGCTGATTTGGGGTTTGAGTTATATATGGCATTTTACTTATACATGTATTTATAAATGATTTGGGGCATGTTTAAGCAGGTAAATATAAACCCTGAATATTGCTGTGTTTATATTAGTTTGTTTATCAAGCTATGTGTCGATTTTCATTTTTTATATTCTTTAAAATATGTAGTCTAACCTTTGTAAGATGGAGTAGTATTAGTAACAACCACATAATAGCAATAGTAGTAGTAGTAGTAGTAATTATAATAGCTACCATTAATGAAATCTCTTATTATTTCGTGTTATCTTTCTAAACACATTTGAGGAGAGTTACAATAAATTAAAAAGACAAAGCATGGAAAAACAATAGCTTAAAAGGAGAAATAAATAATGGTTTATCAGGAAGAAGAATTAGTCTGTAGAAATACATGCCTTACATTCATAGATGGTTACTAAGGGCACCTGGCATCTTTAGAGCAGTGCTTTCCAAGGTGGTATTCAGTCAGGTGCAAGCTACATTGTCATTATTTTAATACTACTAATTGAAGCAAATTTAGGTTGTCTTAAAGCCACTCCTTCATTTTAATCTGAATACTTTCTGTATGTGTGGGGAGAGGAGAGGTGAGATTTGTTTGCAGGAATTGTTTCACCTTCATATGGAGTCTACCCTGGGAAAGTCCAGGGGAGGCTGAGAATCATAGCTTTTCAGAGTATATACACACAGATGCCTATTGTTTATGGTTTACAGATTACAAAAGATACCAAGTATTTTCTTTTTCATATTAACTTTTATAAATATACATTTATTTTCCCTTTTACTCTGTCAGACCAATATCTGTCACTAGTTCTTTTACTTTCATGAAATTTTGAGAACATTTGGAATGCTTTTATAATACTTTTATAATCTCATATTTGGAATTTTAAATTGAGCATTAGTTGAAAAACTGCCTTGAATTGGACTTGAACTATATATTGAATTGGACGTAGTAATATATAGTAAGTGGAGTTTGTGGTTACTGCCAGTAATCTTTTGATTTATGTAAGAAATGAGAATTGAAGTACATTGAAGTCAAAACTCTAGATAGGTGCCTGAGGAAGTGATGGGCATGAATTGGTTTACTCATGAAAGAATTCTATGAGGAAAAATACATGATGAAGAATTTGGTAGATCTGGATTAGTGGCAAGGAGATGATACTTCTCTCGGACTACTATGTCTTAACTAGGTATCTCCTCACTAAATGCATTCTTCAGATAGAAATAATATTAGCTAACTAATACTTAATTGGAATATTCTGGAAAGCATAGTATTTGGAGAAACATAAACAAATGACTCCATTTCATTCTTAAAGTAGGCACTATTAATGACCATTATTTACAGTGTTTAGGTATAAATCATAGTTGATAGACACATCATCTCTGTGTACAATACTTAACATTGGGCCAGGTCTGTCTAATTTAGGATTAGTGGAATTGGAAAACTTTAACTTTTAGAAATGGGTTTTATGAGGAAGACTTAGTTAATATTTCCCCCCTAATTTTCCTAATTCACAGGGATAAAATTACTTCGTTCTATGGGTGGCTAAGAATGGATATTTAGGATCTGTGGTTTCTCCAGGAACTTTTACTCTGATTCAGTGGCTACAGAACTTGGTTGTGCATCAGAACCATCTTGGGGACCCCACTCACCCCCCACTTAATAGGGAAATTACATTATTATGTATTTATTAGAACATATACAAAAGTAGAATAATATAATAAGATGAGGAATTTTAGCAGTATGTATGTAGACTAGGGTTTTTCTGAGACCTGATTCACCTGGAAACTAAGATAAATATTCACACACATACCAGCTCACCAGGTAATTCTGATGCATAGTTGTGTTTGGGAAACATCGTTCTAGGGGAATCTGTAGATAAATGTTTCAGAACAAATGCTATTTAAATGATTTTTCTTGATCTATATTCATACCACCTCCATATCTAGATTTATTCTGACTTTCAGCATTTTTCTTAAAATTTTTTAATCAAGTAAAATTTGGGTAGCTTAACACTTTATTAGTGCTACTAATTTGTTAATGTTTGCATATGAAATTAATGCTAAGTGAACTTCTTTTAACGAAATGCCCTGTCTTATTAGAGCTTTTACTTAAAATACCTTTCCCTTTCCCAAACACCTTTGTCTCTCCTGGTTGATTTGATTTCTCCTACATTGCCATGGAAATTCATATATAAAAGGTGGTAGTTGTGCAGTTTCTTATAACTGCAACCTGAGGATTTGGTGAATCTGATTCAAGATGTCCTGGGAGTTCTTTTTTCCCTTTTTTTAAACCCCAGTGGTTAAGTACTTCTTTGACTGCTTTGACTTTGCATTGCTCACGATGCTATCAAGTTATACACTACTTTTTGCCTTACACTATAATTAAGCTACAAATATCCTATGCCAAGATGAGTTTTTAAAACTTCAGGTGGAAATCTTTGTTTAGGTGTGTCAGAAGTAATTGTTCTTTAGAATACCTACATAAGCTACTTTGTCAGGTGCAGTTAACAGATTGTCCAAATAACTGTGGCATAAATACTAATGAGCCCATTTATCATCTCACGGAAGAGTGGTTCCAGAGTTGTCTAATTCAGTATTCTAATTATGTCAGTGTTCCAGATCATTTTCTCTCTGATTCCTTTTTCCCATATCATGGGCACAGATGACTGCAATAGGTCTAAACATCATATTATTATTATTATTATTTTTAATATATCTTTATTGATTTCAGGGAGAGGGAGAGAGAGAGAGAAGCATCAGTGATTCGAGAGGAGTCATTGATCGGTTGCCTCCTACATGCCCCCAACTGGGGATCCAGCCCACAACCTGGGCATGTACCCTGACTGGGAATCGAACCAGAATCTGGATCCTAGGTCTATGCTCAGCTGCTGAGCCACACCCGGCCAGGCTACACATCATATTCTTGTATAACAAAACCCAAAAGCCGGAAGGAAGAGCAGAACCTTCTCCAGAAGTCTCTTTTTTTCTGGTAGAAAATTTTTCCCTGCATTCCTCAGCAGACTTTCCTTTATGTCCCGTTAAGTAAAACTGGTTCTTTACCCAGTCCTAAATCTGTTACTGACAAGAGGAAATTTGATTCCCATTATCACCTTAGAGCAATATTGGTTTGTCCCCTGAAATTGGAGGAGGGACCCACCCAGTTGATCCCATTGATGTCTCATCTTAAATAACATCTGTGTTTTGTCATTACAAAAGAGGCAGAGGCTGATGAGTAGGCAATCCTTAGGATATGCCAAACTATAATATTAATTTATATTGGCAGTTTCTACATACTACATAAAAGGTATTCATTCACATTCAAAATGAAATTTTGGTATTTTAACCTTCAAAACACATGCATATTCATTTGAGAAGCATGCTATCCTCTTTAAGTGCTATTTCTTAATGGGCATAGAAAGCCAACCTCACAGGCTCCAATCTAATTTATTAGTTGCTTACTGTTCTTTCTTTTGTATTGGGTACAGTCAGTTTATTTCCCTTTGAGATTAAGTTCCTCAGTGATATTACATGATTTTGGTAGTTGTTTCTCATTCTTTTTAATTAATTGGTACTTTTTCTTCTAGGTGGATTCTCCACAGTTTTCCTGGTGCGAACTCATGGTGGAATCCGCCATGCATTGAAGCGAATGTATGTCAATAACTTGTCAGACCTCAACATTTGTAAAAGGGAAATTAAAATTATGGTAAGTGAAAGTAATTCCATGAAAAAAACTGGCGTATTTTCTTTTGGTTTTGCACTAACACATTAACCAGCTTTTAGGCAAGTTGCTTATTGGTTTATGCACATCTAGAACACCTTTGAACATCATTAAGTTAACTTGGAAAATTATCTGGGAATTTATAGTATATTCCTTATAACCATACTTAGAACTAAATACAGCCAACTCTTTTCTGTCCTTTTTCTATACTTGCCTACTGTCATTCAACGCCATGGTACTCTGCTTACTTTTTAAAAATACATCTAATTATGGATAATTTTGAGGATAGAAACATTTAGAGAATTATATAATAAATAGCAATTTACTCATTACCCAGGTTAAGAATTAAAGCCTTACAGATGCAGTTGAAGCCTTCTGTGTATTCCACTCCAAACATATCTCTGTACTATTTTCATCTGGAAAGTAACCTCTGTCCTGAGTTTGGTGTTTACCATTCGCATGGGTGTTCAGTATAGTCATCGTATGTGTTTGTATTCACAGACAATAATTAGTTTTGTTTTTTATTTTTAAATCATGCTATGAAGTTGTTCGGTTTTTTTGGTGTACTCTGCAATATATAAGGTATCCTTTAACAAGAGAAAAATTCTTTTTAAGTATTAGGAAAAGTGAAAAGTATTTTCTTTTTTAAAGCATTTTCTTTTTTTTTAATCCTCACCCGAGGATATGTTTATTGATTTTAGACAGAGAGGAAAGGAGGAAGGGAGGGAGGAAAGGAGGGAGAGAGAGAGAGCGACATCAATTGGTTGCCTCCAGTATGAACCCCGACTGAGGATTCAACCTGCAGTCTAGGAATATGCCCTGACCTAGAATCGAACCTGCAACTTTATGGTGTACAGGATGACGCTCCAACCAACTGAGCCCCCTGGCTGGGGCTGAAAAATGTTTTAACAGCCATTAAAGAAAATTTCAGTAACTCAGTTACCTAAACAGTAAAAAAAACCCTACAAAATAAAAATGTCCCTGTTTTCTGGGGTTGCTATTCTCAGTGCTCTAGGTGGCTTCTTGTTACTCTTCTTCCACTCTCCCTCCCCTCCCCTCTTTTGTTCAGTTCTCTCCTCCTCATGTTATGTTTATGAAGTGCTAATATATATATGAATTTTTTGTTGTTGTTGAGGTCTAATTCACATAATATAAAATTAACCATTTTAAGATGAACAATTCAATGACATTTAATAAACTCACAATGTTTGTGTAACCACCACCTCGATCTAGTTCTAAAACCTTTTTATCACTCCAAGAGGAAACCCCCTTGCCCATTAAGCAGTTGCACTCCATTGCCCCTTTGATTTAGCCACTGACAACAACCTGTCTATGTTGTGCCTCTAGATTTATCTATTTTGAATATTTCATATAAATGGAGTCATATACTATGTTACCTTTTGTATTTGGCTTCCTCCACTTAGCATGTTTTTGAGGTTTACTCACATTGTAGTATGTACTTCATTCTCTTTTATGGCTGAATAATATTCCATTGTATATATGTGTATCACACTTTATATGTTCATTTGTTGTTCAACTTTTTAAGAAACATCAATGAATATTTGGGCATTAAAAAATTTTCAATTACAGTTGACATTCTATATTGTATTAGTTTCAGGTGTATAGCATAGTGGTTAGACACTTATATATGAATGCTCCAGTTCTTCAACATTCCTGTTTTTCCACACTTGTTATTAATGCCAGTCCTACTTATCCAGCTGCTAAGAGGGAGATTTCTTATTTTTTATCAACATCTTAACACGCCTATTTTGATCCCTTTTGTTTGAAGATAGGCACATTTATACAGTCTGACTCACCTGAATTCTGCTTTTGTTGTCCCTGTTTCTTAGCTTTGAGACTTGCTTTTTGTAAAGCCAAAAGAGTAAAAGATTTACCCCAAGATAATGGGGGAATCTTAAACCTAGTTCTCTAACTAACTTGAGCCCAGATATGATACTGTTGTGCCATAATTCTTTTAGTAGAATGTGTATAATTTAGACACATAAAAATATAGTCATTATCAACAGTAGCAACACTCAAATCTTACGCTTTTGAACAAGATGTTTTACGAAGATTAGCTCTTTAGAGCAGTGTTCTTCCAACTTTTTTGATAACCCATCTCCCATTATGTATATTTATTTATGAATTAGTGACATGTTCAGCTGCCATAAGAATGTAAATCTCAAATTACATTACACAATTAGAACTAGGTTTTTAATTAATGATAGTAGATGTAAATTCAGTTAGAATAGTATTTTTGACAATTGTTTTTAAATTTTCAGATAGACTGAATTAGATCATGATTATTTTAAATCTCAGTATATGCTGATGGTTATCTTATACTAGGAGCCAAAAGTGTCAGATTTGCCATTTTCTTATTATTTCCTCATACTTGTATTATTAATATCATTTTTCTGGTTTCTTTCCAGAAATCCTTTTAGGCCACTTGTTTATTTTTTACATTATTGAGTTAATAATATGTACATTTAAAAATCTACTTAACTAGGTACACATTAATTGCAATATGTTGCATTGAAAACATGCAGATGAGAGTATAATTGCTAGTTCATAAGTATACGGATGGACAACAGTAGGTTTACAGGAAAATAAAATAGTTAAATAACTAATAATACAAGAATAAATTCTGTGTTTTTTGTACTCACAACTGTAAATCTACTTTGTCCACCCTTGGATTAGAGCTTATTTTTTTCATTTTTTTAGATAAAATAAAAATTCTGGTACTCTTGAGTCCCTAAGGACTGACTATCTTGCACACTCACTTTTGGAGACTATTACTTTTGATTGAACCATCTTTCTTCTTGGTTGAATTTAAAGATAAGTGTTCACTGAGTGGTTGCCTGTCAGAAAATGACAGTTACATGTAAATACTTTCCATTTGAACTGTAGAAACCTTTTTGAAATATGTAAGATTCCATACTCATGCCTAAGTCTTACTTTTTGAAACTATCTAAATACATTAAGTTAGACATCAAACTATTGGTCATGATAGAGCTTTAAAATGCATATTTTTTGATAGAACTTTAAAATGTATATTTTTCCATTCTTAAAATTTTGTTTCTTTTTTACAGAAAGAGCTATCTGGTCACAAAAATATTGTGGGTTATTTGGACTGTGCTGTTAATTCAATTAGCGATAATGTATGGGAAGTGCTTATCTTAATGGAATATTGTCGAGGTAAGTGTTTTTCTGCATTTGTTTTATACTTTAAAAAGGCCTTAAAATGGGTTACTAGGTGTCTTGGTTTCTCCTAGAACAGCTGTCACCTCATTCTAGATACTTATTGCAATCTCAGCTTTAATTATCTGTCTAATTAAGGAATGCTGTTAAAAATATTTAAAACCTAAGTCATAGTTGCTGCAGTGTTGATATGAGTAGGTAAATGGATGAAGAAGATGCTGTTGGATTTAAAACATAAAATCTAAGCAGGTAAAGAGCAGTTACACTTCTTGGGTCCTGTACAGTTCTTTTATAATTTAACCAAGAAGAGCATAATGTATCAGTATTAGTGTTAAAAGATTTTTTTCCAGCACTCTACCATGTTATCTTTCTTTCTTTTTTTTTTCTTTTTTTAATATATCTTTATTGATTTCAGAGAGAGGAAAGGAGAGGGAGAGAGAGAGAGAGAAACATCAATGACGAGAGAGTTGTTGATCGAGCCCGCAACCCGGGCATGTGCCCTGACCGGGAATCGAACCCTGATCGCCTGGATCCTAGGTCGACACTCAACCACTGAGCCATGCCCGATCGGGCTGCCATGTTATCTTTCAGTGTATTAAATGGAATAAATTTAGAGAACATATTTTGATTTATAATTTTGATAAACTTGTATTATTTGGTATTTTGGGATTCTTTTGTAAATATCAGAAGGTAGAAAAGCACATTTTATTTGGACCTAATGTATTTTTAAAGAAATAATTACTTGTATAGTATATACCCTAAGAAAATAATGATAACTTAAAAAAAATCCCTAAATTTTTTTTTTACTTTAATGCATGAAGGGGGCAATTAATCTATTTCCTGCAAACTTAAAAAAAGTCAGACTGCATCTGGCAGTTTGTGTTCTAGGGGGTTTTGGTTTATATTTAGATTATCTTAAGACAGTTATGACTGTTAATTATAATACCAGAAACTTACCATTTCCTGAAGGTTGTAGGAGGATGATGGTAGTGGTGATGGAGAAAATATGGTCTCGCCCTAGCCGGTTTTGCTCAGTGGTTAGAGCATCAGCCCACGAACTGACGCAGACTGAAGGGTCCTGGGTTCGATTCCAGCCAAGGGCATGTACCTGGGTTGCAGGCTCAATCCCCGGCCTGGGTCAGAGTGCATGTGGGAGGCAACCAATCCATATGTCTCTCTCTCTCATCTCCCTTCTACTCTCTGTGAAAGCAATGAAAAAGTATCCTCAAGTGAGGATTAAAAAAGAAGAGAAAATATGGCCTCATTTACTTCAGTCTTATAAGGAGGGAGGATAGAGGGAAGTGAAGTGAGTCAATTTTGTGATATCTGTTGTGATGTACTTTCAACTTACTTCCATATGTGATCTAAGAAATTAGATGTTTTCTCTTATTCATATCTCACATTCTCTACTGTAAAGCATTGCGATCTCCTTAAGGAGAAGATACTGATTTTCCCTACCTCATTTTCCTGAATTGTAGCATTTACAGTTCTAATTCTTAGCTGGATTATAGTTAACTAGTAGCTCTAACTTTTTAAAGATAATTGAATTGGGCATAATTATAACCCTGGGCGAATTTAATTAATTGTCATCCAGAAGACATTTTAAAAGGAGAACCAAATGAACTTCCAATATTTAGGGAACAAATTGTTTTGAGGAAGGCATTCTTTTGCTTTTTTAAAAATAACAATTTAAAAAAATCTGGTTTTAATCAACAAGATTTGTTTTACATGAAATTTTTATTTTGATCAGTTATTTATGAATACAGGGTGTCTCCAAAAATGTATACACACTTTGAGTAATTATTCATTCCAGTGGGTTAATCTGAAAAGAAAGAAGTATCAATTGATCTGTCAGCTGCTAAAGCATGTATACATTTTTTGGGGGATTCCCTGTATATTTTAAAAAGTAAAATAGATTTGTTAAGCTATGGTTAAATCAGTATCTTCCTGCCCCTTCCCTCTCTTCAGAGACATGCACTTTAAAATCCTTGAGATGTTTGTTGTTTGTTTACTTCCATATTTCTATACTACATTATGTAAAGAAGAATCGGTAGTTTTAGTGAGAATCCTTAGAGTATGAAAGAGAAGGAAGGAACTTAGAAAATCAGGGGAAGTATGTGATTCTGGGCTCTTGAGAGTTTGGTAGTGGTGATTTTCTGTTTTTATGTTTTAGATAGTACCTTCAAGAAAAGATGAGGATTTTACTGTCAGTGTAGTGTAGTCTCAGTTTTTGGATTGAATTAATAATCAGTGTTTAAATTTTTTTGTTTGCTATTAAACTGTGACATGTAATAGTCTATAATTTCATTTTCTTTCTTATACTTCTTTTTATTTTTCCTGGAGTTAATAATTATGCCAGTTTTCATTTGCTTTATTTTCTCTATACATATTAGTATTTTAGTCCTACATTCTCCATTGAAAGTGTAAATCTTTATGCAGTGTGTTTAAACATTTTAATATTTGTGTCAATTTTATTTTTTTGTTCCTTAGAAACATCCTTTTGGGAGACTTATTTCTCTTTAATTTTGAACAACATTCAGCTGTCATTCTGGGAATTCCTTTTGCCTTCCTCCTATTTTAGATTCCCTGCTACTCATGTCTCTCACTTGTTTTTATTACTGCCTTTGGTAGAGCACATTTTTCAGTAGCTTTCTAATAACAGATTTATGGAAGAAAACATTTTTAAAAAATTGATTTGAGAGACAGAGAGAGAAACATCAATATATTGTTCTATTTAATTTGCACTCATTAGTTGATTCTTATATGTGCCCTCACCAGGATTGAATGTTCAGCTTTGGCTTATCAGGACAGTGCTCCAACCAATTGAGCTACCTGATCAGGACTGGAAGAAAACATTTTTGAAACCTTGCATATATAAAAATATTTTTATTCTACATCCATATTTATTGATTTGGCTGGATAAAGAGTTGTATGTTAGATATAATTTGATCTATAATTTTGAAGGCATTTTATTTTTTTCACTATTGTTAATATTGAGAAGTTGGATGCATTATGGTTCCTAAATTTTTTTATGTGACCTATTTTTTTCCATGGACACTTTTTGAATCTTTCCTTTATCCCCAGCATTATAAAATTTTAAGATATATATGCCTTGGCTGTGGGTCATTTTGCTGGTATTTTTTTTTGCTGGGTGTTCAGTTTTTTTCTCTTTCATTTTCTCTGTTCTGACTTTTTGGACTTTTAATTTTTAGGATATTAGTCTTCCTAGATTTGTTACTGGAGAGCCAGCCTAGTTGAAGGGTGCTTGGCTCTCCCTTCCTCGGCTCTTGTCATACTCATGAGAAAGAATTCAGATGAGTCACAGAAAGCAGTGTTGAAGCAAAACAAGCAAATTTATTAATAATATACACTTGGCATAAAGCACAAGCTGGCAACTCAGCCATTCTGAGTGCACCATCTGGTGGGGATTCAAGGGCTTTATACTTTCCCCCCCATAGGTTTCGAGGTTCCCCTGTTGGATAGACTAGATTTCAAAGTTCCCCTCTTTTACATTGTTGCGACTTTCCCCAGAATTTGTGAGAATATCTGGTGATTTTATCTTGGCAAGTCCCAAGACTGCTGACTTCTTTGTTCACTGGGTGTGATAAACTCCCCCTTTTTCTTTTCCCCTTTTCCTTCCCTGCCCCAGTAGTTATCTTTCCTGCCTAACATCCCCCAGGTGATACCATCCAAATGCTTTTGGGGTTTTGTTGTTTGTCCTCCATACTTTATCTGTCTTTGAATTTAGCTGGCACAAATGGCATTACTTGGGCCTTTGTTCTCTCTTTTCCCAGGCCAGGGTGATTTGAGCTATGTACTCTCTGATTAGGGAAGAGGCTATAAACAGTTTGCTCTCAAGTGTCCTTGGTTGGGGAAGATAAGGTCTTGTGATTTACAAACTGACTATAAGCCAGGCAAACTGTTTGACCATGTTTAATTTTCTTGTCTCAGTTTCCCCATTCTGCTTACCCAGGAATTTTCCTAGCTAGGAAGCTATCCTGCCATAGATTGATCAATCCTCTGATTTTCTTTTATTGTTCTTCTCTTTCTTTTTATCCTGCTTGTGTTGGGAGCATTCATTCAATTTATCTTTCAGCTCCTCTACAGAATTTTGTATTTCTGCCAAATTTTGTATTTCTGCCAAATTTTGTATTTTTAATTTCCAAGAACTTTTTTTTTTTGATTCTTTCAGTGTTGTTGTTTGTTAAACTGTACCTTGCTCTTGTTTTAGGTGCAGATATTTTGTTTTCTACAGATATTAATTACAGCTTTTAAAAATGTTTTTCTTATGTGTTTTTGTTTTTTTCTTAAATTTTTCCTATTTGTTATTATGCCTTCTCCATTATGTTAGAAGTTTTCTTTAAATGTTTTACCAGATAAGCTTACTGTATGTACTACAGATCAGAATGTACCACTGATAGGCACTCATTCAACATAGTACTAGAAGTCCTAGCCACAGCATTCAGGCAATTATATCTTAAGATAAGGAATCTAGAGGATCTGAATAGAACATGCTCAGTTCCTTTTCTCAGATGAATCAGTTCCCAGTGGGTTGGAGGGGTGAAGAATGGGTGAATACATGCTTTCCTCTTACTTCCTCTATAAAAGTTAATTTGTTTTACATAAAATTGTTTAAGAATGAAGGTACTTTAGTGAAGGAATCATTGTTATATACAGTTCAGGTACTTTGGTTCTGATTATGTAGAGAGAAAACTGTATAGAAAGTAGAAGACTGTGTTAAATAGCTTATATACTCCACCATGGTTTCAAGTATCAAATATTTACAATCATCTTTTGTCGAATGTTAGATCTCTGCAGGTTGATGGGTGTGGCACTGCTTACTTTGCTAATGTTCTAAAGTATAGGTTAAAGAAGGGTTATATGCTTTAGGTACCAAACTTTAGGAAATCAGAGTTCGTATTTTGAATGTATTTTTATTATTTTATGAAAAGAGCTTTATTTCTAGGAGGTATTCTGCAGAAATTTCTACGGATAATTGTTAGCTTTTGCTTAATAACAAAACATTACAAAACTCAGTAGCATAAAACAACATTTATTATTGCTTGTGTATCAATGGGTCAGCTGTTCTAGACTGAGATTGGTGAGTTGACACTACTCATTTTGGCTGGACTTGCTCACATGCCAGTGGGTTTGCTGGGACTCATTTTACACATTTCTCATCTTCTTCCTGGCATGAGCAAACTATCCTGGGGATGTTTTTCCCATGGATATGGTAGAAACACGAGAGCAAGTGGGGGATGTGAGGGCTCTTAAGGCCTACGCTTGGGACTGGCACACTGCCACTTCTGCCTTATTCTATTGTATAATCAGATAGGAAGGGTTGGATGACTACTTTAAGAGGTTAGGAAAATGTTGACTTTTTTATTTTAGTGATGAAGTAAATTGGCAGAGTATAAGAGCTTTTGTTAGGAGATGATACCTGTTTGAAAAATATGGAAATATTGGGAAATCTATGCATCTTGTTTTAAAAGACCTTCAGTATATAATTTTAAATTTTCATTTTCATTAGAATAACCTTACTTTAATATAACTTTCAGAAGAGTTTGACTTTGATTAATAAAATCTTTTTTTGTGTCTCCATTTGAAATGCAGCTCAAATACAGATTTTTAGCTTTTTGGGGAGGACCTGAATTTTGTGACTCAAGGTTTTTAGCTCAAAGATCTTGGAATGGAGAAAAGAGGATTAACATTTGTTTAAAATTCATCCTACTTGTTACAGCATTGAACCTTTAGGAGAGGTGGAACAAGCTTAAGGTTTTGATTTCTTTAGCTATGAAATAGTATTTCAATAATGTGAATGAGTACCCAGAAAGCATTATCCATCCTGTTTCATTTTTGGTCAAAATGAGTCAGGGTTTCTGACAAGAGGGAGAAGGAAGTTGTTGCCTGGTCAGGTGCTTCACTCTTATGAGATGCCCTGAACAAATTAAAGGCAAATGGACTTGTGTTTTCAGAAAGTTGGAGGTTGAGGTAAAAGTTCATGTTCTTTTTGCTTTAAAATTCTAAGGAAAAACAACCATTTCAGAAAATACATGAGAATGCTGTTGAGACAGTAATAATAAAAGGCACAGGTGTGTATGCGCCTTCTTCCAGATTTCAAAATAGCAAACATTCATTTATTAAACCTTGTTAAAAGAAAATTTCATGTTAACATAAGCTTACCTTTTTAAGTTCCCAAACTTGATTTTTATTGGAATGGCTTCTGAATGAATCACATATTTACTTTTGCTCTTAAAATATAACAATGATAGTTAACTTCTTAATAATTAAGAATTGTCATTAGACTGCGATTATTGTAGTATATTGTAGCATATAATAATTCTCTCAGTGCTCAGGTGTGGCTGTTTGATTTTAGTTAGTGGACTCTGCCCATTATCCCTTACCTAGTTTAGAGGATTAGCCTCTTAACCCATTTCTTCATTTCCACTCTAGTGATCCCCTCATTGCCCAATCTAGGAAACCTTTTAAAAAGTCAGATCAGGAAGTTTCTTTGATTCTTGTTAAAATACAAGTATTTCTGATTGCTGTCTGCCTTGTCAGTCTCATCTCACCTCACCCTCTTCTCTGCTTCCTAGACCATGTCCACATTGGCTTTCTTTAAGCTATTCAAAGTCATTAAGCTCTTTCCCAAATGTGCTTGTTTCCTGTCTAGCCTTATTCTCAATATACATATCACTTCCTTAGACAGGCCCTATGTAATACCCTCTCTTCCCCATCCCCCTTCACCAATTTAAATACAGGTTCCTCTCATGTTCTTACTGTACATAATTACAATATGTGTTTATTTGTGTGATTGTTTAATGCTTATCTCTGCCTTTAGACTATAAATTCCATGATAATAGGAACTTTATTTTTGCTTATCATTGCTTACCCAATAACTAGCATAGTGTGGAATAAACTTTTTTAAAATCTGTGATGCTGTCAATTATAAGGTGTACCCTGATTTCAGAGATGTTAAAATGTTAAAACATAGGAATAGCATTAGCAGGACATCATCTATCTAAGATGTTCTCATGTTAGAGATGTAAAATGTGAAAAAATGTATTTCATTAAATCAATACTTAATGGTATAATTCTCCTTACAGGAGAATTATGAAAAAGCCATAACCTGAGACTATAAATGCTTTTCTTAATTTCTTTGTGATAGATTGCATGTATCAAAAATGCATCCTCTCAAAATTATGTTTTTGGTTAGCTGGGCAGGTAGTGAATCAGATGAATAAGAAGCTGCAGACAGGTTTTACGGAACCAGAAGTGTTACAGATATTCTGTGATACCTGTGAAGCTGTTGCGAGGTTGCATCAGTGTAAGACTCCAATAATTCACCGGGATCTGAAGGTAAGAACTTTAGACTCCTCATGGATCAATACATTTTAAACTCTTAAATGTTCTTGGGTTATCTTCATCTAAACCAGTTTTTATTACTAGCACTGAGCTTGATCTCTGTCCCCTGCTGCATTTCCTGAGGTTATCTAAGTGGCTGTAGAATTTGGTGGTGATTATCTTTAACGTCACTATATCTTACCTTTTTATGCGCTCTGACCTCTTGTATCTGATACCCAATTGTTACACTGGAAAAAGTTCCCCAAAGGGGATTGAACAGTTCTGGTATCATATTATTAGAGATACCAGTACTCATATCTTTTAAAACTATAGGTTCCTTCTTTGATACTCACAAACACTAAGATTACAGAAATTCTTCTTCCTGAAATTCTTAATGTGCAGATATCCCATGGCTAACGTTTTCCCCCTTCAAGTCAGCTCAGTTCACCTTCGCAGTGAGTTCTGTCTCGTACTGCCTTAGTTATAATTACAACTGAACATTTCTACTTTCCACCTGCTCTACCTTTTATTATCACTTCTTACCTTCTAAGATACTATTTAATTTGTTTCTGTATTATGCCTATTGTTTATTTTCTGTCCTCTCCCACTAAAATGTAAGCTCCATGTAGACAAGGATTTTTCTCTTTTGTGTAGATGTATCCAAGCATTTAGAAGAGTGCCTGGTACATAGTGTGTTCTCAGTAATTAATATTTAATGAATGAATGAATCTCAGTTCTGACTGATTATACAGAGTTTATGAACCATGATAATAAAACGCTCTTAAGACACAAGAGAATAGAAGATGTTGCTTAGAATATAGGTCATAACCACGAAAACATCATCCAGGGAACTGTATGGTAAAAGGATACAAGGCAAGACAAGGTCAAAAGGCATGACTGCCCTTTAATTTGGATAACCAGTTTAGTTTACTTCAGTTCTTTTGAATATGCAACTTTTACATTTCCCTAATAATTTATATGATTTTTAAAAATTATTAAAAATTACTTTTTTCATGTAGATATTTTCAGCTGAGTCATTGATTTAAAACCAGAAAAAAATTGAACTGCACAGTTTTGTATAGGCCATGTTTCATATGTTTAGTTCTTTTTACATGTGTAAATTTAAGCAAACTTATGTTTTGTTTAAGTAGATTTCTTGTACAAATATTTATTGTGTCTGAACCTTTTAGTCTAAGTAGACTAAAATGAACTCTAAAAGAAAAATTATAAAGAAACAATAATGTATTTTGATAGAATTGAGAGAAATTGAATTACTCTTCAAGACTGTGTTATAAAAGGAAAAAAAATATTGTGGAAAAATGTAATTATTAAATAGTATCATTTATTGAGCGCTTCATTCCAGCCACCGTTCTAAGCACTCTTCATGTTTTAATTAATTTAGTTTTTATAATAATAGATATTATCTTCCCCATTTTATAGATATGGAAGCTAAAGCACACAGTGGTTAAGCAAATTGTCCAAGGGTATGCATGCTAGTGAGTAGCACAGTTGGGCTATGAATCCACACTCTGCTGTTTTAGAAACTGTTTATGTAATTTGTTTACTTAAGTTACTACAACTCTAATCTTTAAGTTAAGACATAAAGTCAAGTCCTGTTTTTCAGTGCAGTATTTTATATAAAAATGGTATTAAAAGTCAGAGATAGAATTTTAATGGTTTTTGTTGATGCTGCCTATCAATAAGATGAAGTGTCAGAAATGGAGAGAAATGGAGGTATAGTATATATACTCTACTGCTACAAGTTTCTCTTTCACTGAAGCATTTTTAGAGAGGATTTGGGGTTTCTTGTCCCCTGCAAAAATAATCCTGGGATGGGAGAAGCACTTCTTTGTTCTTAGTAAGAAAAGCAGTAGACATAGTAGAATATAATTTTGGTCTGATTCATTTGTCTTTCCTCATAATTTGAGGTATATCATATATAGTATATATATGATATTTATATGTGTATATATATGTATATGTATGTATATATTAAAAACCCTTTGATGTTTATTGTGTAAGATCATGGTTGTAAAAAGATAATTTTCATTTTGAAAATAGTACTAATTATTGATTTTCTTCTCTTAAGGTAGAAAATATTTTGCTGAATGATGGTGGAAACTATGTACTTTGTGACTTTGGCAGTGCCACTAATAAATTTCTTAATCCTCAAAAAGATGGAGTTAATGTAGTAGAAGAAGAAATTAAAAAGTAAGTGTTTATCTTTATTGCATTTGTCTTAAAGGAATTTTAGTTAACTTGGGCCTGTGATCAGTTCTGCTAATACATATTTTAGATATTCCATTCATAGATTTCTTCAAAATATTTTTATGTCTTAGACAATGATTAATTTATGTCTGATCTAGCTCAATAGGGAATACATTCTACCATGAATACAAGTTTTTCATCCATGTTGTAAACACATTTATCAAGAAAGCTATAATAATTAGTGGAAAGGGAGATTTCAGTGATTGTTGAGTTCATTTACACATCTTTGTTTTTACTAATACTAAAAATTTGTTCTTGTTAGGAACAGTTAAATTATTTGAAAACATACAAGCTTTTACTTCATATTTAATATTAAGAAGTTGACTTCCCTATGCATTGGAAACTATGCAGAAAATGCGTTACTTTGTAATAGTGTACTGGAAAGCTCTCTGGTAGAAAAATAAGTCATATCCGGTTTATGCTTTCTTAGTCTTGTACTTTCCATGGGTTGCTAGGTTACCTGTTAAGACTTTTCTCTGACTTATCTGTTTTCTAGTTTTAGAAAATGGAACTGTTTATAAGTCTTAGATTACCTTAATAAAATGATACAGCATGTAGAAAGATTTGCCAGAATAGGAATTTCTAATAATTGCTAATAGTTCTAATATTTCTAATAGTTGCCCTCTTTACTGATTCTGATATATAATGGCTGCTATAGAATTCTGCTCAAGCACCTCTAACTTGCTGGGTTTTATTTCTTCTTATTGAGATCTGAAGTATAGTTAAGGTTTATTAGAATTTTTCATTAGTCATGAATGTAAGCTATGAGGGTATTCTTGTGCTTTGTGGCTCAATTGAAGAGTTAATGGCCTAACCGTGTACTTAATTAACAGGAATTTATTTAGAGCCTGCGATATAGTGAACACTGTTGGTGCTACAGGATAGCATTGAACAGAAGTCCTGCCTGCGTGCAGTTCATATTCTGGTTTTTAGGTTGCTACTCTGTAGTAGTATCATTGAGAATGTCCCACTGATCAGGGTCACTGGAAAAAGTAAGATGGTAGAATATTCACCTTTAAGATGTTTTATGTAAAATAAAACATGTAAACACTCAAAGTGAATTTAAAATTATGCCATGATATAGGAAGTTCTTCCATATTTTGGTAATTTCTGCCATGAAATCGAACACTACTTCATTAAAATATTCTGTTCATAATGTATTTGAGGATTTTATGATTGGTAAATATTCACAGTATCTTATAATTGCAAATAGCTTATGATGGCTGTATTAGAATTGCACTTAATTAGTGTAGTTAGAATTATGGCACGTAGATTTTTTAAACAATATAAACAACAATTATAAAAATAAACCTAAAGGAGATTTACTGCCATGTATAAGGAAATATGTTACAGTCCATAAAAATAAACTCCTTAATAAACATAAATTAATTTTTTTAAAGAATGGAAATTTTAATTTTAAATTTACTAAAATATTTTGATAAGGATATTTTAATAGTTAAATATATTATTTCAAATAAGAAATTCAAGGAAAATTATGTTTCCAATATATTGTCTTCATTGAAATTTTTTGTATTAAAGAGAGTTAAGGTTTTTATCATTAGAGATGCTACTGCACTTGTTGAATAAAAATGTGTATACATGCTTTGTATTGTTTGATACTTGATGGACTTTTAATGCCTTTTAAAAATAGTATTATTTTTATGTAATGTTATTGAACTGAAAGTTTTTTGCAGTATTTTATGTAGAAACAATGTAGTATCTGTCTTTATTTATTTATTTATTTATTTATTTATTATTTTTTATTTTTTTATATCTCCACTCCATTTTACTTATTTACTGCCAGGTATACAACTCTGTCATACAGAGCCCCTGAAATGATCAACCTTTATGGAGGGAAACCCATCACCACCAAGGCTGATATCTGGGTAAGGCCAAGAAAGGTTGACATTTTCTCTAACCAAATTTAAAAAATATGAGTTCAATTGATTATTTGCCCCCTGCTCCCCAAAAGGTATTTCCTAATAAATGGAAGAGTGGTGTATAGTAGAGCTGCTTATTTAGGAGATGAAAAATATTATAACATTTTATCTTCTTAATCCTGAATTGGAAAGCTTAGAAAAGCAAATAAAGGACTTGCATATAATGTAATTTTTTGCCATGATATTTTTTAGTGTTTAGATTATATATGAGTGTTAACATTTTTTGATTGAGTGGAATTTTGGTTTATCACTTTATGGAAAAGCTGGACTTAACTCTTGAGTGATTATACTGATAATTTTCTGGAGTTTTAGGAAATAACCAGGAGTAAAACCTTTTTTCTAATTATAAACATTGACTAACATATATATTGAGATTTTTTATTATTTAGCATATATATCTGGATTGAATTATTAAGATAGATCGTGTTTCTATATAGTTGAATTTATGTTAGAATGTTAGTACCTCTTTAGAACTTATTTCATAGGTAAACTATGTTTTGGCTGTATTTTATAAACAAACTAGCAGGAAAGTACTTTAAATGTGAATTCACTGAAATTAAACTAGTATTTAGCTATATCCACCACTAGTGACCATGTTAGAGATGGAGGAAAAAAAATTCCTTTGGAAATATTTCTAGAGTTTACTAGAAAAGTCATATTATTTTCTTTTTAAAACAATGTTCAGAAAGTAGCCGAAAGTAATGTGTGAAACCAAATGTGTGTCTCCTTGGTTCTCTTATCCTGGCCTTTTCCTATTGAGGTCGAGATACCCAAATATTTCTGCAAGGTAATAAAAAAAGAATATCTTTGATATCTTTTTATCTGTCCACATAACATATAACATATGATGTTGTGTTTTTTTCCAAAAGGTGGTTCTTAACTCTTGTTCAATTTTTAACCATATACATAATTGAATCAAACCACAAATAAGTTTGGTTTAATTTGATACTGCTTATAAATCACCAGCTTGTATAACTCAAATTCAGTTTGCTTTTCTCAGCATTAACATAAGACTCATTAAATGGCTTATAGTATAATGTAGAAAGCAAATTCAATTGGATCTTAATTGATAAAATGAAAGTAGTAGAAGAGGTGATTATGGAAGTTTTTTCTGGCCTAATTTTGTGACTGCTGTTAAAATCTATTACCTAAAAATCTATTTCAACAGCAGCAGAACCAACAGACATCAGAGCTCAGTACTGTTTTGAAATCATGAAGGGATGATTAAAAAAAAATTACTTACTAAACACATGTTGTTACCCAGTATCTTAAAAAAAGGAGAGGGAATCCTTTTTGTGGTTTATTTTTCACCAGACTTAGTATGCATGCCAAGCAGCGTACTAAGTTGTCAGCAATAAATTTAAAATTTATACTGTTTATAGATTAGTATATGGAGTAGTATTTCAAATAACAGCTAACTGGGTATAGCTGTGGGGTTATAGATACATAAAGATAAAAAAGCAGGAAAGATAATCAGAAAACAGAATATATGCTTGACAGAGATAGAACTTTAATTTCCATGATGCCATTTTTATGCTTGTCTTAGCTTAGGTGAAACAAGTACGCTACCACATTTTAGGTGAGAGATGCTTCATGTTACCTTTTGATGAGGGGAATGGAGGAGGGTGATAGCCTTCAAATTCAGGTCATTTGTTCCCTCTTGTTTTTTGAACAATTCTCATTATACGAAATGGATAAAGAGGGAAATGCATTTGGTGTGAAAAAACTAGGACACCTCATTGTGTTCACACAACATGAAGCAGAGTATTTTAGATTTATGTTTTTTAAGAATAATGACATTGCTGTCTAAAATTGTTGTTTGGGAACTCCCACTCATTTACTGTAACACAAGACACATTCATTACTAAAGGTTTGATTGAGAAGATAAAACTGGCTAACATGGAGATATCTTTTGCCTAGACTGTCATCTGGGTAAGAGAAGGTGTAATTTAATGCAGATATTACACCATTAATAGTATTTTTTTAGTGTTGTTAAGGGAGCCTTATGTTCAATTTATTGCATGCATGCTGAAGGTATCTTACAGAACAAAGCATCATACATTTTTTAAAGCCACATTGAACTGGATTTTTCTATTCATAAAATCTTCATAATTTTGTTAATCATATAATAAATAACCCTGTAATGTCTTTAAATGGATATATTGAAATTTATAGAGCCTTTACATTTTTTCATTGGAAAATTGTTAAAATATTGTAAGTAATAATTAGTAAATTAATATTATTGAACTCACACAGGTGTTTCCTTATAATGTGATCTTCATAATAGCTGTAAAACTTAGAGTATTTGTTAGTTGCATTTGCTAAGTTGATATGTGGAGAAAATTCAACAAAGCAAACCAATTTGCTGGTTTTTAGATAGTAGGGCAAATTTTAGTATTGTTGATATAATTGTGTAATAATTATTGAATAATTTTATACAAATTGTTTAGAATTAGAAATACCCCTTACACTGTAGATGACACTTCTTGTGACAATATAATGATTTCCTGACCTGAAAATTACATTTTATTACTGGTTCTCTGGTTTGAGCTGTTAGCAGCTTAGTTTGAAATTTGTTTTTTAGGGTATTTTGTTTTTGTGGTCAGCAAGTAGATTTATTGGTGCTGTGATGTCTATTAAGCTATGCAAGTGAAGCAGACAAAGCCCTACCTTTTTGAATTTTAATATAGATTACCCAGGTAAAATATAATTAGTAAATTATAGAGTAAAAATCATAGGGTTATACAGAGAAATAGAGACTAATTTTTATAGTATGAAATAATGATACATGGTTAGTGCCTGATAAATTTAACTGTGCTGGCTAACTCATATTTGGAATCTGAGGATTTTACATGTTTTATAGTGAATTAAAAAAAATGCAGCTAGAAGGAGCCTTGTGCTTGCTTTGTTGCTTATATGCTACTTATGTACTAAATATATATTTTCCTTGTGGAAGAAATAAAAGTAGACTTTTTTCCCTAAAAGGGACCAGCCACTTCTAATTTTGGTTATATCATTCATGATGTAGATGTCTATGATAGCACTAATTCAGTCAGCTAGCCAAAGATGTGATAGAAAAACATGGAAATGATACGGTTAAATGTCTTCTCAAAAATTAAGCACAATTAATTTGTTTAAGTAAGTAATTTGTGAAAAGATTGATTCAGTATAGAAACATTAGCCTTTTTGAAAATAACAAATTTAGTTTTTGGTTTAGTGCTATTTTTATGTCTTGTGGTTAAGTTGTTTACTTGAGTTCTGATGATGTTCATGCTTCTTTATTTTACAGGCACTGGGATGTTTACTGTATAAACTCTGTTTCTTCACTCTTCCTTTTGGTGAGAGTCAGGTTGCTATCTGTGATGGCAGCTTCACCATCCCAGACAATTCTCGTTACTCCCATAACATACATTGCTTAATAAGTAAGTACTTGGAAAAATTTATTACACAATTGTAAGATACTATACATAGGACCTGCTGTTACATACCTTTGCCTGAATCTAGACTTTTAATTTCATTTATTATAATTTTATCAAATTATAGTAAAGAAAAACATTAAAAAAGATGTTTATAGACTTTTATGGAATGAAAGCAGCCTAATTGCTGACTAGTACATTAAGTCCCTAGATAAGCTTTTGTAGAATACAGAGATTATGTAATTAAGGAAACTGGAATTTCTGGAAAAACTTAAGCGTAACATTTAATTATTCGGTCTTTGTTGTTTTGAAATCCAAATATCTAGATCTTTTGCTTTTTTTGGATCAAAGTATCGCTAATCTTAGATTGTTGCTTACTTGACCACCCTTGTTAATATCTATTCTTTATTGATTATGAAGTGGTTATCAGAAGCACCCTAAGTGTATCAGAAGTGTAGTCCTGTGGGCCCTTGAATCCAAAAGAATACCTCAGATTTCCTTCTAGCCTGATCTAAGACTTTTTCCTTCCTTTTTGATAGGTACTGTAATTTAATTTATTACATATGTACATAGTAAAATTTCTGAAAAAGATGACTTGGGGAAGGAGAGGACCATCAAATATTAAAATATATTAGGAAGCTGCAGTATTTAAACACCACCTCTCAATACTGTTTGAATTAAAGTGTGTCTAGCATTTCTACTCTGTTTCCTGCATGTTAAATATTTTCTCATAGCCTCTGACCACATAGAGCAATGCAGTAGAAAAGAGGGCCAATCTAAATATCTTTGATACTTTGTGTGATAAAGATGGCAGTTCAACTCAGTGGGGGAAAATAGTTGGAAATACAAAGAGTTAATAAAGAAGTCAGACTGAATCTCTACCTCAGACTTTATGCTGAAATTTCAGATAGGTTAAAGACAAATGTAAAATATGTATTTGAAGAAGATAGGTGTGAATTTATAACACTGAATGGGTATTCTATAAGTAAGGCATTAAATCTCAGGAATGAGAAAAGATGCCTCCATTAACATATACATTTAAACCATTAAGAATCTTCCCAAATCCATGAACCCCAGCATGAAATCAAGTAATCAGTTGGAAAAAAGAAAATTTGTTACACATTTGACAAATGACTAGCTCTTGTAACTTAAGAGACTCAGGTGAATAAAAAGGAAAAGGGAAGTACCCTAAAGAAATATGGTCAAAAGAAAGTTGAGCGTTAAAAGGATAGCTAGCTTCGCTTTGCAAACATATTTGAAGCACATCTTTTTATTTCTATAACGTGGATTTGCTCACATGTGTTAGAAATTAGAGAATTATACCAGTTGAACACAAAAATTACATTGCTTCATGTGGCGTGTTTTTCTTAGGCAAGGGGAACCAGAGTAATAGGGTTGGGGAGATGGTGGTATAACTCACAGGGGAAAGGAAAGAGCCCTAAGCTTGGCTGCTGTACTTCAGCATGAACATGTTTAGCTCTGTGAAGAGTAATAAATGAGTGCTTCCACTTGGACTTTTATTCCCAGAGATTTACCTGTCAGTTTTGCGTGGCTCTCTACTGATAATGATGGCCCCCTGAAGGGCAGCCCCTCTGGCCCAGAATTCTACTTTTATTGGTTGAGCATCTCCCAGCCTTGTTTTGATGTGTTTTTATATCCTTGTGGCAGCCTTCAGTCAAATTAATTGACCTGCCTGGGCGGTCCAGGTTACCTTACTAATTAATATTTTTGTCAGTGTTCTGGTGACAAAGTTGTATAGTTTTCCAGTGGTCTGTCCCAAATCTATTTTCCCCTTATCCGTATTATTTTTAGCCTGAATGTGAAAACTTTGCAGAATGTGGAAAATTTTAAACGCAAACATACCATGAGAATTTATTTGAATAAGCATTAGACCCATAACCCTCTCCATCTTATCTAGTCATTTTCCTCCTTCGTTGTCCAAAAATTAGGGCATCAAGAGCATGAAATAACCCTGATTAACCGGAATTCTCAAAGAATAGATGAAGGAATTTATTTTGCTATTGGGTGTTCTGGCTAAGTGAAGTTTAATTTTTTATTGACACCCTTGTTGTATGTCATTGTAACTATGACATGACACTGCTTTGTATAATGTCTTAATCACAGTTGAACTGAGGATTTTATTGGGAATCTTTTAGTGTCTTAGGAATTCCGAATAGTCTCATTGGACAATTTTGTATGGGAGACTGGACAGTATATACTCTGATTTGTGATTTAATTTGTTTAAAGTAGTAAGATCTTATTTTCTTAACGTTAGGTTTGATTTTATTTTTTTTACCCTTCTCTGTGTGTCTGTGTGTGTGACTTTGCATTTGTAATGGCAAGGTTGAAACTAAACGCTATTGATAATTTTGGGATTTAATTGGTTCTAGTTAATTGATGCCTTAGTGTGCAACATATGCTTCTTTTATTTGTCAATAAATATATAGATTTTAATTTTTATCAGTGTTTGTATAAAGTTGACCTTGTATTAATGTTTTTGAACTTATTTCTGAGAGCTAGGCAGATATTTTAAAAAAGGTTGAGTAAAATAAAAGTATTCAAGTAAATGTTGGTATTTTATTTCCTGTCAAAGGATTTTTGTGAACTTTTAAAAAATTGTCTTAGGTAGTAAAAGTTTAACAGAGTAGATATTTTTTAAAACCAGAACATACTTACCTATAATGTAACGTTTTCAGAAAACATTTAGACACTGCAGTTTTTTTCTTGCATCATCTGTAAATTTTATTCTTTTTTCACATGTGACCTTGCCTGTTTCCCACCATCTTATGTAGGTTCTCTGTCTGCTTTTATGCTCTGTAGTTAGTGATTTATATTTCTTTCAAATAAATTCTACATTCAGAAAACCAGGAAGTGCCTACCTGTGCCCATAGTTTTTGAAAATGTAACTTTTTACTGCCACTTGTCTATTTATGAAATGTAGTTGATCCCACATGTTATTATAAGTTAAAGCATTAAAAAACATATTTCTTCTTAGTATTGATAGGATTACTATCTGCTTGCATATATTTTATATGATCAGGATATTTGAAAATGAAATAGCCACTCCAAATCTTTGTAAAACTCTGTGGTTTGTGGTTACATAAATATTTGTATATATTTTTGTTATTACTGTTTGGTCAAGGATAATTACTATTACCCTTGAAAATGGTAATAGTAAGCTCTATTTAACAATAGAAAGCTCTATTTAACAATTAATTTGTTAAGAAAGTTCTATTTAACAATTAATTTTATTATACTTTTCTGCAGACTTGACTTCTTAAAAGTAGCAGTGTCGATTATTTACAAATTTTTTCATAACTTCTGTTAACTTTTCCAGTACACAATTAATGGAGGTGGATTGAGGAGAGAAGCACTTTTTATTTATGGATCTAAAAGTTAAAAAGAACTTAGACAACATTTAGAGGAGAGTGAGAAGCAAAACTGTAACAGAATTACTGAGTAGTTACACTACATGAACAGGATGCTGGCTGCCTCACCTTTCTTTCAGATTTGCTAAGGCGATTAGGGAAGTACATGGTGGAGATTAAGAGTAAGAGTCAAAAGACCTGGGCTTGCATCTGCTGTCACTTACTTAGTAGGAATATTGGGCACCTCTGTTTATCTCAAATCTCATTTCTTTTTTTTCTTTTTTTTTAAATATATCTTTATTGATTTCAGAGAGAGGAAAGGAGGGGGAGAGAGAGATAGAAACATCAATGATGAGAGAGTCATTGATCAGCTGCAGCCTGCAACCCGGGCATGTGCCCTGACCGGGAATCGAACCCCGATCGGCTGGATCCTAGGTCGATGCTCAACCGCTGAGCCACTCCCGGCCGGGCTCAAATTTCATTTCTAAAATGAGCATATTAAAAGTACCTACCTCTTAGGTTTATTGTGAAAATTAAATTATGAAAAGTGCTTCTTAGCATGTGTAAGTACTCAGTAAGTGATGGCCTTTTTAATACTTACGTCGTTACTGCTGTGATAACTGTCACTATCAGTACTACTGAAATCTATTATAATTCTTCCTGAACTAACCTCATTTCTAATTTTCTGGGTAAGGATCAGGGCATCTACTGTCAGATACTCAATAGCATGTACTTTCCCTGCAGAGATTTCTTTGGATGCTTTGAAGCAGAACTTGGTTTTGCAGGTTAATGGTGGATCTACCAAAGGCTTACCATAAATTATCATATATTCCAGGATATACTGTTATGTAACTAACTACTTTTCTCACCTCTTTCTTTGTGTAAATATAATGAATCATAATGGCAGCAAGGAAAGTTTTATCTTTTATTGCTTTTGGGTCTGCTGACATATTGTTGCTTTATGGTTCTGTATCTTAGCTCTTAGAAGCTTATCTATTGGCTTTAAATTTATTTTTTAAATTGAAATATAATTGACATATAATGTATTAGTTCCAGGTATACAACATAATTATTCAATGTATGTATACAGGATGTCCCCCCAAAAATGTATACACACTAACCGCTGATTCTATCACATTTTGAAAATTAAACGTATTTTAATAAACTCTGCCTTTATAATTATTCAAAGTGTGTATACATTTTTGGGGGATGACCTGTGTATTGTGAAATGATCACCACAATAATTCTAGTTAACACTGATCACTTCATATAGTTATACATTGTTTTTCCCTTGTTCTGACACCTTTTATGATCTCTCAGCAACTTTCAAATATACAGTACAGTGTTGTTAACTATAGTCTTCATGCTGTACATTGCATCCCCAGGACTTTTATAACTAGAAGTTTGTACCCTCACCCATATCACCCACACCCTAGCCCCTATCTCTGGCAACCACCAATCTGTTCTCTGTATCTATGAGATGTTGTTTTTTTTGTGTGTTTTTTTAAAGTGATCCCACATACGAGTAAGATCATAGGGTATTTGTCTTTCCTCTGACTTCTTTTGTTTAGCATAATGCCCTTGGGCCCTTCCATGGTCTTTCAAATGGCAAGGTTTCCTTCCTTTTTATGACTGAAT